AAGACTGCAAGCAGCAAAAAAGGGACCGTTTTGTACGACGGCCAACGATAAAAAGAAGATGAGAAAAATGCGGTTAGACTTTTTTTGTCATTTCCTTTTTATTAAAAACTCAAGTTTTATCTTTTATGTTTTACTAATCTTTTTAATTTTTTTTTTTTGAACTAAGTATGATAATGTTTTGCATAAACTTTATTAATTTAAGAAAAACGAAAAACATTTTTGTCAAACAAAGGGCTGAATTAAAACTCGAGATGTGAGACACCAACAATTAAAACTAGGATAAAAGGACATGTATCAAACAAAGGGTCAGATTTAAATTATAGTCCCTCCGTTTCTTTTTATATGATGTTGTAGAAGTTTTTATTTGTTTCATATTATTTGATTTTTTCAACTTTCTATACAAAATTTACAGTTTTTTCAATAGTTTTAGATCATTCAAATTCTGCACTATTTGTTTTCATCGGTTGAATTAAGTTTGTTATGCATTAAATCATAGTTTCTTAATATTTGTGTTTTTATCTCAAACATCATTTTAAAGAAACGGAGGAAATAATATTTAGGACCGCAAGCACATGATTGATGGGTTTATCCCAAAAGCCGGCTCTGATCAAAGGTTCTTCGGAAACTGTGGTGGAAACTTTCTGGTTTAATGTTTCAGTTTGGCGTTTAGATCTCTCTTTTTTTTTCTTTTTTTTGAATGAATGTAAAATTATATTCAACCCAAAAAAACCTTGTTTACAATATATATGCAACCTTAATTAGAAAGAGATTGAAGAGTTGGGAAGTGTTAATAGAAAGAACATTTGGACCTAGAAAACAGAGGAAGCATTAGAGTCTTGAGGCAAGCATTAGATCTCTCTTCTTTTTCCCATAAGCGAGCTGTTTTCTGTAGGTTCTTGGCCCTCCTTTTAATTTGTTTCCGTTTTGTTGAGGCTATGTCTCCCTTTCTTTTGGTGCTTTGTTTCTATAGGACGGTGTCATGCCAGCTATGTATTCCAAAGTTAATGTTTTGGCTTTTGTTCGGGTCCTCATTAGATAGAAGCCTTTTGTTGGCCGAGATGATTCCTTTTAAGTTGTTGCTCATGTAACATCACATTTGTAGTTTTACACATTACGAAAGAAAGAAAAAGCATCAGAAAACAACAATTGGTTTTCGATGAACTATTTCGAGTTAGTAGAAATGACAGCTTCCTACCTATTGGTTTGCCTTTTCGTAAATGAGTTCGTGATGAGCAAATAAATAAATTCTAAAGTGTTTTTTTAGTCTGTAGGTTGCATTTGAACCTGGTGCAGCGTAAACTTAAGAAGGTCCGGGGTTCGTTGATCCAATGATCACGATGAAACAAGGATGAGTTTGAGTTCTTGTTTTTCATACACTATAATAATCAAAGCTAATGAACTCTACTACTCACAAGTCACAACCACTTAAATACTTAGAGGAAGAATCTAAAACCCTAAAAAGAAGAAGATCAGATGAAACATAAAAACACTTAGAAGTTTTCCTAGCTCAGTTGGTAGCGAGTGTGCAAACTAATCTAAAAGGTTGCATGTGTGTTTGATTCTCGAACTTTATCAAAGAAAAAACATAAAACACTTCGAAACCCATAAAGAACAATGCCTTGTGATGAAACATGATATATATATATCTAGATGTGCTGCATCAAAACAATATCCTAAGAGAAGATTTCAATGAAGCTTGATGGCGAGACTTACATCAATATATATTTGTATTGTCTCTCTTATTTTGGACGAAGGTAAATGTCGGAGATGAGAAAGAAGAACATATAAGGATAGCCAAGGAGACTGCCTGATGTCTTTTCATAAGAAATATGTCATTCTTGATATAACTTATAGTCACATCAAACATGACATCAACCATTTTGTTCAAAGAAACAGGCAAGTCATCCTTGGCTACCAAATATGATTCTCTTATTCATCTTTGACATCTCCTTCTAAATAATGTGTACACTCACCTCATATACTATGAAAAATGCTTTAGAAACTAAACGCTGAAGTTTGATATTTTCAAAACATAAAACCTTACACATAATAGCACTCTAACAATATAATTGAAACTTTTTTTAGTATATTTATAGTGATTTGGAAGACAAAAAGAAAAATAGGTATAACATGGATGAAAAGAGTATGTCAAGATAGCCAAGGAGACTGCCTGAAACCTAACCCGCAAGATTCAACTTGATTTTCGAATTATTACATCTTTTAGATGCATAATAATCCAAAACCCATGAACTTCAAATTGAATCATGGAGGTGAAAAAGATCAGGCAAGTCATCCTTGGCTATTAAACATGACTCTTTTCGCCATGTTAGACCTCTCTTCTTCATTATACATTTCGTAACTCTCTGTATGCCTCATTCCTCACATGCATGTGCTCTCTTTTTATAACGCTTGAGAGAAGGAATATATGCATATTGGTTTCTAAATATAGTCAACTTTGAATTCTTTATCACGGGAATATGTTCCTTTAAATGGACCATTATTCGGGTCATTAAGATAATATTCTTGTCGGTTCATTCACAAAATTATACATCGCATTTCATTTGTGGGTTTAATAGTTTCCCCAATGTCCAAAATTTATAGTCGAATCATCTACATTTTGTTTATATATAATGAAAAAATGTACATTTTATGTGAGTTTAATTAAATCAACGAATCAAATGCAGATTTAGATGTGGTTATTTAGTTTCAATCAGTATGAAACAATTGTTTCAATTTGTAATTTGAACATATATTTAAATATAATTTTAAGTTTTGCATATAATAGGTTATGATTTATTGAACCACATATATATTGTTAATAGATAGTTTAAAATCTAATTGATATATACTCACTCTGTTTCATTATAAATATCGTTTAAGGATTTTCACACTTATTAAAAAAAATCACTAATTTTTTTTGAATGAATATAAAATTTATATAATCCAAAAAAACTCTTGTTACAATATATGCATCCTTGGATCGAATGTTATTTTGAAAGAGAACCAAAAATGAAACTAAAAATCTAGCTTCTTGAATCAAACCACTAAATTTTTTTGTTTTACCACTTATTAATACATCATACTGATTTCTTCATTGGTCAACATATTAATATAGTATGGATAAAACTGAATTATTTTTCGAATATCTACATTGAACCGTTAACCGTTAATATAGTATTGTCAACATAATGACACTTATTTTGAAACAAAATTTTAAGTCTAAAAAGGCACTTAATATGAAACAGAAAAACTATTCCCCAATGATAAAAAGCTTTTTCAACATTTATATTACACGTGGGTTAACTCATTGTGGTTGATTAAATACTCTCAATTTATTTTATCTTTCTTATTATTCTCACTACTTTGCAATTGCATGCATACTTTTTACTAAATATTTAGTTGAAATTTTAATAGTAGTAATCGAGTAATATATATATACGGTCCCTTTTATCTAAGTGAAATGTGTAAGAAAAAAAAAAAAATTCCTTCCAATTGATGCTTCTGGCTTATGGTATAGCAAGTTGTTCACCTTTTCTTTAATTTAAAACTAAAACTGTTTTTCCAGAATAGGAAATTTTGATGATATGTTGCATCTCTATATCACCTCTATTGGATATAAAAAAAGGTTTGACCATCAAATGAAAGAATCAGAAGAACTTAGGACATTTTTTTTTTTTGTTAATAAGACCTTTGGACGACATTACCCGATCATTGTCAATCCACGCCTACATATTTTCTAAAGTGGTCGATTCTCATATCTTTTTCATTACCTATCGTTGAGAATGTGATTTGATTTTGTTCGAATCATAATATCATGTCCTTTTAGTAAGTTTTCAAAAATATTATTCACTGGCACCGCTCGGAAATGTTTTAACAAGCATAGTCCGAAGAACAATAGTGTTCATTATTTTGTTTCCAAGAACATGTATATTAGAGCATCAGAAGACAACAATTCCTTTTACAATGAATTGTTTCGAGTTAGTTACATGATCATGAAGATCAAGAATAATTTTTATTTTTATTTGTTTCTTACATTTTATGCGATTTTGAGTTCAAGGTTGATTGTTTAGTTTGTAACGTTAGACTTCATGCTCAAGATTTTACTTTTGTAAGATATGTCGTCGATTTAGATCTCAGAACTTTTAAAATTTAACTAATATTATGAACATAAAAAAAATGGTATATATATATATATATAGTATTTTTTGTCATCTTTAATTTATTTAATTAAATACGGCCTTAAGGAAGCCAAGAAGAGAAATAAAAACAAGTTAGCCTCTTCTCCTACCATTTGAAGCCTCTGAAGAAAGCCTTTTGTACGAGGGACCGTCTCGAGCAGTAAAAGATTGGTGACGGCCTTCTTTTGTAACATTTCGGGCAGTCGATGCGCGCAGCATTCGGTTTGGTAACTCTGGTTCATAGATGATGTCCCTTTTAACAAAATTGATTTAAAACCCGTTTACATTCTTCCATACAATATATTGAAAAGACAACGACTTCTCTGGAGAATTAATCGCTCTGACGAAATCCGTCCTTGTTGAGGAGAATATAACCCAATTCGGTCTCATTGTGAATAAGCTCAAGGAAGCCTATTGAAGACTTTGAATTTCGGCTCCAAGAGCTGAGACGAGACGTGGCCGATAAAGGCGTTTGCTCACATGAAAAATTACCTTTTCATGCTCTGATCACCAAATACCATGCATCACCTTTGAGATTCCAATTAAAATTCCAAGACGATTTTAGGTTTCACTTGCACCATACCTTAAGAGGAGCTTTCCGTGAAACTTAGTGGCGAGACTCATTCGAGGTTGGTTGGCTCATCAAATCAGGTATCTTAGACTAAGAGAGCCAAATCAGCTGTATCCTTCCGAGGTTTTTGAATTGCCGAGAGAGGGTCATGAGTGAGTTTATTTGAAAATGTCGCTTGATTTTGATGTATACATATTGATGTATGCGCAAAATGTAATACTTATATATATGAGAAAAGCCTCAAATTCATCAACATTGTCTCTCCATGATTTTTCTTGTCGTGTCTATCTTATTTTGGATGAAGGTAAACGTCTGAGATGAGAGAGAAGAACATATAAGGATAGCCAAGGAGACTGCCTGATGTCTTTTGATGAGTAAAATAGTCATTACTTGATATAACTTATAGTCATTTGTCAATCATGATGCTATAACCATTTTACTCAAAGAAACAGGCAAGTCATCCTTGGCTACCAAATATGATTCTCCTCTTCATCTTTGACATTTCCTTCTAATTAATGCGTATACTCATCTCATATCCTATTCATTTATGAAACGTAATACTTTAAAAAAGATTGAAAGTTTTTGAAGTGTGAATTTATAGTGATTCTGAAGACAGAAAGAAAAATAGGTATAACATGGATGAAAAAAGCATGTCAAGATAGCCAAAGAGACTGCCTGAAACCTAACCCGCAAGATTCAACATGATTTTCGAATTATTATACGTTTTAGATATATGCATAATAATCCAAAACCCATGAACTTGAAATTGAATCGTGGAGGCGAAAAAGATCAGGCAAGTCATCCTTGGCTACTAAACATGACTCTTTTCGCCATGTTAGACCTCTCTTCCTCATTATACACTTCATTACTCTCTATATGTTTTGCCTTATACCTTACATGCATGTATGTGCTCTCTTTTTATAACCCTTGAGAGTTGAGAAGGAATATATGCATATCGATTTCTAAAATTCTCTCTTTTCTTTTTGCATGGGCTAAATGTAGTCAACTTTATATTCTCCAAGACAGGAATATATATTCCTTCAAATGGACCATTTTTGGGGTCACTAACATAATCTTCTTGTCGGTTCATTCACTAAATTATATCGTTGTTCATTGGTGGGTTTAAGAGTTTCCATAATATATATACAAACATCATGTTCTCGAATCCTCTAGATGTTGTATATAATATTAAAACAATGGAATGCAAATTTAGAAGTGGTTAGGTCATTTAGTCTGAAAGAATTGTTTCAAATTTGAAAACTCGAACATATTTTGAAGTATTACTCTATGCTTTAGTATAATTATGATTCATAGATCCACATATATATTATTAATTAATAGGTAATTTAAGAGCTAAATAATATACTATAGGCAAAGACATTTCAACTAATATATACATGCGGTTAACTCATTGTGCTCGATAAAATGTCCTCAATTTATTTAGTGGTTATTATTCTCACTACTTTAATTTTTATACATTTTCTTTTTACTCTTTAGATAGTTGAAATTCAAATATATATATATGCATGGTCCCTTTAATCTTAGTGCAATGTGTAAAATATGTTCCTCTGAACTGATGCTTCCGCCTTATGGTATGTGCAAGTTGTTAAGTTCTATGGGCTTCCAACTCAAAACCAATTGGCAATGAGTGGAGTGGCCCATATCCCTTTATATATTACTTAGGATCCCTTCCAACTTCCGATGTGGGACATTATGTCCTAATACGCCCCCTCGAGATGATGGCTCTTTGGCCATTAATCTCGGAATATTCGGGCTTAGATCGACGGCATCAATTTTGGGCCTTGTCGATGATTGGACCATCTTTGGGTCGGATCGGGTTGGACATGTGTGGATCGGGCTCTGATACCATGTTAAGTTCTATGGGCTTCCAACTCAAAACCAATTGGCAATGAGTGGAGTGGCCCATATCCCTTTATATATTACTTAGGATCCCTTCCAACTTCCGATGTGGGACATTATGTCCTAATACAAGTTGTTTTCGACTGTTTCTCTAATTTAAAATGAAAATTTGTTTTCCTTAAAGATCCAAATTAGGAAATTTGCATGATATGTTACATCTTTATCATTTAACCACTTTTGGATATAAAAGGTTTGACCGTTAAATTAAGAATCAGAATACCTTTGGCATATTTGTTTTGGACATTGCCGAATCTCATTTGAAAGTCTTCGATTCTCTTTTCTGTCATCCATATCTTTTTCATTACCAATTGACAATTGTTGAGATTTGATTTGGTTCGAATGTCTTCATCATGTCGTTTCACTAAGTTTACACAAATATTATTCACTGGCACGACTGAGGATAAATTGTAACATTATTTATCATTATCTTTCCAATGAAAAATTGGTAAATTTAAATTCTAAAACAACTATAGGAAAAAAAAAATGGATCGTCATGTTAGGTTATATACCCCAACAGCTATTAAATATGGGCTAATTTTGAATTGGGCTAAAGCCTGTCACATGATATTAAATTATGGGCTAAAGCCTATAACATAATTATTGGTTTTTATCCCCAATCGTTAAAAATGAAAATACAGGTTGTTCTCTCTCAAACTTTTTTTTGGATTAATGTAAAGTCTCTCAAACTTGAATAAAACGACGCTCCATTTCCTCTTACAATTCATATTTTTCTCGGCCTTTTTGGCTAAAGACTATTGGTTTAATATCTGATCTTATCAATTTAATATCTGATATATGGACTATTGGTTCACACGATACTCTAAATTTAAGTTAGAAAGTCTCATTAAATTAGCTTATCTGAGTTTACGCGAGTGTTTCATGCGTTGCGTTACATTATTGCACAGACATGGCTCATTCCCACCACCAAATATAGTCCAAATTTTTATGTAAAGGCAAAAGTCTGGGCTTTGGTGGTCTCAGACAACTTGTCTCCAATCTCCCTCCATCTGAGTTTTGTTTTTGAATTTTCTCTATGTTAGAAAGATTTGCAGCTCTGATACCATATTAAATTCCGATCATCGGAATCACAAGAACGAAGAAGAGCTTAACGGATACTTAACAAACTTTCATTATTAACCAAAAATGTTGTTACAAAGCTTAAACTATACACTAATGATGAATTAAGCTTATATAGTGTTTAACATTAAACCAAGATGTAGATAACCGAAGTAAACCAGCAATAACCGGTCCATATCACTCTAATAGAAACTCTTATCATATATCAAACACTTCCCCTAAAAGTCATTTGTATCCGTTTATGCATAATTCCAGTTGCACACAAAGTGCATGCTTCCATCAAGTAATTGTAGGGAAAAAAAGCATTTGTTCACAAACTATTTTCTTTCATTTTTTGGATGGATATAGTGTGTATATATATATATATATGGGACAAGGAGTAACTAGCTTTTTTTGGAGTGTCTTGTTCAAATTTTTGAAATATGGAGTTTATTTATATATATATATATATATATATATATATATATATTATTTTATTTTTTATTTGACTGTATGTTTTAATAAATAAACGGATATTGACAATATATAGATAGTTTTCTAAAATCTTATGGATGAGACATATGGATTTATTTGTACGTGAGATTTGGCTCACCTTGCCAATTAAAGTTCAACTAAGGTTAGTTTGTAAATTTTGTTTTGTTTATAGTAAATTCAGAAGGGGAAACTTGTACGTCTAAATTTGTATATAAATTATAAAAAGATCCAAAAGGTCACTGTTGTTGGTCATGTTTATATTTGTTTCTTTTTATTTTTGCTCTAAACTCTCTCTTAAATACAAGTCAAAAGAGGTGGTAAATATGGACTTTTATTCTAACTAAATACAGAAAGATACATGGAAACACAACTTTCTCAAATAAGCTTTGCTGAATTTTTGTCACAGATTTTTTGAAAGTGAGATGTCAAATTAGGTTGTATCCTATATTTTTCTGTTTATTAGCATTATTATTATTATCAAACTTTTCTTCTCTTTTGATGTCGGCTGGTCGATTATAGTGTCCCACGTCGTTTTTCATTTATAGGATAGTAAGTCATTTAATTAGCAAGTTTGAGATTACCACACATTCTATGATGTTATTATTAATGATTTATGTTATCACAATTTAATATCACTTTTTTTGGGACAAACAAATTAATATCACATGTCCAAATATGTTAATTATTATTTGTTTTCAAAAAGAAAACAATTAAGTTTTTATTTTCCGCGCCTCTTTGTTTGGACGAGTTTGTCGTGTTTTTATTATAAACACATAGAAAAAACGGCAAAACTCTCACACAAATGGGGGTTACACTACTTCGCTCAATCTTCGGTCTCTGTGCCGTCTCATCTTCATCAAGAGTAACTGATTTCCACTCTTCAAATCTCCGACGCCGGACATCCACCTTGAAGCAACAACTCACGGCGATCAAATCCGTAACATCCACTGATCCTCCTCCTTCTAGGGGTATTCGACGGAGACGTAAGAATACGGATGAAAACGTGTTGGAGAATCCGTATTCGAAAATGGAGATGGCGCGTCCCGATTTGCGGAAAAGCTTGTCGGATTTTTTGGAAGAAGCGAGAGATTTCGTTGGAGATGGAGGAGGTCCACCTCGTTGGTTCTCTCCGTTGGAATGCAGGGCTCAAGCTCAAGGCTCTCCTCTCCTCCTCTTTTTACCTGGTTCGTCCTATAAATCTTCTTTCGCCTTTCTATCGTAATACGAATGGATCTCAACTGTGTGGTGGTTGAGGATCCGGGTCTCAAGACGTAAAATCGCAGAGGTTCCCGGTTGGTTGAGTTTAGTTAGGGTGAGTTTGCGGTGACATGCAAAGAGCATGGTCACCTCCGGATTAGTCGGACTTGACCTAGACACGATACCGATAATTCAGTTTACTTGAGTTGGGATAGTTTCTACGGATTTGAACTTTTATTTCATTTCCATGGAACTTTGAAATGTTAACAAAACTGAGAAAACTATAACTTGCAGGGATCGATGGTACTGGACTAGGGCTCATTCGCCATCACAAGAAACTTGGGGAGTAAGTTATTTTTATTTTTTTTCTATATGGTTTATTCATTTCCTTAAAAATTTGCATTAGCTTTTCCATTTTTTACAACATTCCCTGTATCTACAAGAATATGGTTTCTCTGTTTTTGTAACTTTGATTTTAGGTAGTTTTGAAGTATAAGGGATCTTTATTTGTAACGTTTTTGTCTTTGAATAGGATTTTTGATATATGGTGCCTTCACATTCCAGTCAGTGATCGTACTCCATTTAAAGGTGCCTTTTTAACCCCCTTGTAAGCACCAAAATGGTTATATAGCCGAGAAGATAGCTAATGCCGTTGAAGCCTTTTTGTTTGCGTTATAGACTTGGTGAAGCTTATTGAGAGGACAGTGAAGTCGGAGAACTACCGTTTACCAAATAGACCAATATATTTAGTTGGAGAATCTACTGGAGCATGTCTTGCATTAGATGTTGCAGCCAGGAATCCCGACATCGATCTTTCTCTGATCTTGGTTAATCCAGGTACACTAAGCTAGGTCTGGGAGATTCTTATTTTGTCGCTAAATGTTACGAAATATGTACATCTTTGTTCATCATTGACATTGTTTGTTGCAGCCACACATGTCAACAACTTCATGTCAAAACCTCTATTAGGAATGCTGAATGTTTTACCAGATGGAATTCCCACACTATTGGAAGACGTATTTGGTTTTAAGCAAGGTACACTTTTATACTCTTCTCATATTTTATCTTGAATCATAAGTTCACCGACTACTTGAGTTTCAAGTTGGATCTTTAAAGTGTTTCCAAGTTATGTTTTAGCATCTTCTTGATTTTACTTAGAAAGCAGTGACGGCTATCTTGATGTTATACAACATCAGTTCCTTGTAGATGAATGAAGAAATTATTAAGATATGAGTCATATCTTATGACAAACTTGTGTTTTTACTTTGTTCCCGGGGCTTTTTTACGTAGGTGATCCATTGACTGGAATATTAGACGCTTTGTCAAATGAATTTTCCGTCCAGCGAATGGGCGGAGTGGGTGGAGGGATTCTAAGAGATCTCTTTGCAGTTTCAGCTAATCTTCCAGTTAGTGTTCCTTCTTAGCAAATTATGATCTATGCGTTTTAGAGTTTATAGTCTTTACATTTTCAGTTTCAGTTCTCGTGTTCATCAAGTAATGTGATCAACACTTTGAAAAATATATGTTCAGACTGTGTGTAGGATGTTCTCTAAGGACACATTGCTTTGGAAGCTTGAAATGCTAAAGTCTGCTATTGCTTCTGTGAATTCTCACATATACTCAGTCAGAGCTGAAACACTCATACTTCCAAGGTCCAATAAGTTTATCTGTTTCATAAATTCTGAATTTCTTTTACTCTCAAAGAGATGTATTAGCTTGGAGCATAAGTGTAATGTGAATATCTGATTATGACTATTGCAGTGGACGTGATCAATGGCTGCACAATGAGGAAGACATTGTCAGATACTCTCGCACGTTGCCAAATTGTATTGTACGAAAGCTTGTTGACAATGGACAGTTTCCCCTTTTGGTAAGTGATTTATCAAAACAGAAGAACGATACGATTCTTAGGTTCTTGCAATCTCTTCATATCAGTTGAGGATATGGATTCATTCATAACCTACAGTTCAATTATCTCTTTTACTTATCATGTTTAGGAGGACAGCCTAGATCTGGCTACTATCATCAAGCTTACTTGTTTTTATCGCCGTGGGAAGTCTCATGATTACATTTCAGATTACATTAAACCTACCCCTTTTGAGTTACAACAACAATTAGACGAGCACCGGTAAAATGCCTTACTAATTGCTATATCTTAGTTTTTCTGTATGCCTAGCAAAAGAAATAAAAGGTTATAGTAAATACTGAATGATATATTCCGCGGTGCAGATTCCTAATGGATGCTATTTCACCTGTAATGCTATCAACTCTAGAAGACGGTAGAATTGTAAGGAGCCTTGAAGGATTACCTTCAGAGGGACCGGTTGTGTACGTTGGCTATCACATGATATTAGGATTTGAGTTGGCTCCAATGGTAGGTTTACTCCTGATAGAGAGGAACATTCACATGCGTGGTTTGACACATCCGATGGTATTTATGTATATCCAAGACTCGTTAGTTAACCCGAAGACGTTTGACAAATATAAGTTAATGGGTGGAGTTCCTGTCTCCAATATGAATTTCTACAAACTACTGCGTGAAAAGGCTCATGTGCTTTTGTATCCTGGAGGTGTCCGTGAAGCCTTGCATAGAAAGGTAATATTAAATATATCTCATGGAAATATGCATGCAGTTTGTGTCCTTTTGCGGTTTTCGCATTCTTTGGAATTTCAGTTTTAGAGACTTACATGTACAGAGAGACTTTTCAGGGTGAAGAATACAAGCTGTTCTGGCCAGAACAATCCGAGTTTGTGAGAGTTGCATCTAAATTTGGAGCGAAAATCGTTCCTTTTGGTGTTGTTGGAGAAGACGACATCTTCAATGTAAGCTTTCTCTACTCAATTATGTGATCTTAATTATATTATATTCCTAAACTTTGGTTTGGACATTGGATGATTCTCAGATAGTCCTGGATTCCAATGATCAAAGAAACATCCCTATCTTGAAGGATTTAATGGAGAAGGCAACAAAGGACGCTGGCAACCTAAGGTGTTTCCATCACATACGCTTATATATATACTCTTACAAGTAAAGCTGATCATATGAACATTGATTTTGAACGTCATAATTGTCAGGGAAGGCGACGAAAGCGAATTGGGAAACCAAGATTGCTATATCCCAGGACTTGTACCTAAGATTCCAGGGCGGTTCTACTATTACTTTGGGAAACCAATAGACTTAGCAGGTATGTATATAATCTAAGTGTATGCTTTCTACTTCAAATCACTGACCTCAATACTTACAATAATGGCGGGTTTTGTTTTCCGTGGCAGGTAAAGAGAAAGAGCTGAAAGATAAAGAAAAGGCACAAGAGATTTACTTGCAAGCAAAGTCTGAGGTCGAACAATGCATTGCCTATTTAAAAATGAAAAGAGAGAGTGATCCTTACAGACAATTATTGCCAAGGATGTTGTATCAAGCCTCACATGGTTGGTCTTGTGAAATCCCAACGTTTGATCTCTAAATTGTACTGTGGCTATATATGTTGTAGACATATAATCATATGATGTTTAGAGGTTCTAAGATTCTTTAGAGATCTAAAGATCTTTTATTTGTTCATGGAAAATAAGACAAGATTATTTAACTGAATGTACATGACATGAATCTATCTATTACTGTCGTTTTCAAGTTTTTGATTTATTTTCTGAATGTAATGTTAAATTAGATTCAAAGAAATATTAGCACAAATCTGATGACATTCTTTTGAAAATATGACATTCTTACATCATGCAAGTGTTATATTCTTTTAAAAAATATGTGTCATTCTTTTGAAAAATCTGACATTCTTTTTGAAAGTCTGACACTCTTTTGAAAAATATGACATAATTACAACAAGTATGACATCCTTTAGAAAAATCTGTGACATTATTTAAAAAATCTGACATTCTTTTGAAAAATATGTATCATACGTTTTTATATTACACCAAGTGTAACATTCTTTTGAAAAGTCTGAAACTACTCGAAGAATTTGAGATTTTAGTTTCTAGATTCAAACCAAACTTGGAGGTCTTTATATGTATCTCTTATCACCAATCGCTCGGATTTATGAAAGTTTTAATGAATGCAGTTGTATGTAATCTGGCTTTAGGATCAAACAAGCATTTCAATTACTCTGTTTAAAATGATGGATTCTTGATTTACATGCGATCAAGGTAGAGGTAATTTATTTCATTTCAAAACTCACAACCGAAGAAGATTGATGATATTTTGGTTGCATATTGGATCTTAAAGTATGTAGATAGTTTTCTAAAATCAAATTAAACATCTAAAATATATACAACGTTAAGAAAAGAAAAAAACAAAGAGACACACACACAAAACCCAAACAGTTTTATGATTTTAAGCTATTCGTTTGATTGATAATTTTAGGAACTGGCCTAGAAAAGTTATATCAATTGAAAAAAAAAAGTCTTATCGTGAATAGTTTACTGGTGGCTTCCTTTTTTGGAAATTCCCAAATAAACAAAACATGAAGTTTTAGAATAGCCTTTGACTCAACAAGTGCCGTGCTCAACAATGTGGCAAAAAGGCATTTGCCTAAGACCACCAACATTTAAAAACTTAAAAGGCCATATTTTTTTAATAAACCTTATTATGAGTTTTATTAGTTTAATAAATATGTTTGCATTGAATTCGTCGTGTATTAAAGTCTATATCTTTATAATTGTTATACTATTACAAACATTGTGCTTTAAAATTTCCTTTTGTTTTTAACTTTTTATTAAAACTATTATTATTATTTTCGTTTTTTAAAAAAAAATATAAAAAGACCACATTTTTCTAATTTTCCTTGAGCCTCTGTGTCTGAGCACCGAATAGAAAGAAAAACACGTTTAAATTGATGTTTATGCACTTCGTTTCGGTCCCCCAATTTCTGGTTGGTTGTGACGACCTAATACTGAATTTATCAGCTCGGTCTATGAAGTGGGTACATGCAGTGTTTCCAATAAAAACCAAAAACGACAATTAGAAGGAAAAAAATACAAAGATTGACAAGTGGTTTATGTTTTTTTTTTTTTTTTTAAATCATCAACGTTTCATAAATTGTAGATCCCATACTAAAAATGGTAGTTTGAAAAGTGTTTTCAGTATGTTTGTTCACTACTTTGGATTCGATTTTGGGTTAATTGATTTTGTTTTTGTTTAAATCAGTTTTGTTTGAAAAGTAGTCACTTTTGAAAAGTATTCACTTTGAAAAGTGTTTCCTTTGAAAAGTGTTCAGTTTTGTCGTTGATTATTACTCACAAGCTACAGCGGATAGTAGTGACTTATGAAGTTTTGAGTTTGAATTTTCCCTCTAAAGGAATGAATACATTATAAATAGATCATTAACCTTCCTAAATTAAATAGAGAACACAGAACGAAAAAAAAACAAGAACAAGGCCAGTAAAATGTCGGTCTTCCTCTTTTTCCTCTTCCTCTTACCCCTTATCTTAATCTTGAACGTTTTCAAACGTCCGAAATGGAAGCTTCCTCCGGGTCCGAAGAAGCTTCCCATCATCGGAAACTTACACCAACGCAGGAAACTACATCCAAGGAATCGCCGTAATCTCGCCGAAAAGTATGGACCAGTGGTGCATCTCCAATACGGATTCGTCCCCGTGGTCGTGGTCTCTTCGAAAGAAGCAGCAGAGGAAGTTCTAAAGATCAACGATCTTGAATGTTGTACTCGACCAGAGGCGGCCGGGATGAGAGCAACTTTTTACAACTTCAAAGACATCGGGATGGCACCCTTCGGTGACGAGTGGAGTCTGATGCGGAAGCTCTCGGTGGTAGAGCTCTTCAGCGTGAAAAAGCTTCAATCTTTCAAGTATATCAGAGACGAAGAGAATGACTTGTTTGTCAAGAAACTCTCTGAGTTTGCTACGAGACGATCTCCAGTGAATCTTGAGAGAGCCGTTTTCACTTTAGTCGGAAATACAATTTGTCGGATCGGGTACGGGATAAATCTCTATGAGTGTGAGTTCTTTGATGAAGAAAGCGTCGTGGATCTTGTGGTAAAGGCTGAAGCAGTCATAAGAGAAACTGTGTTTTCTGATTTCTTTCCGGGAAGAATCGGTAGGCTCATCGACAGGATCTCCGGTCAGAACAAGAGATTGAACAATAAATTCTCGGAAGTAGACACTTTCTTTCAGAATATTCTTGACGAGCATCTTAAGCCTGGAAGAGAGAGCTCTGATATTATTGACGTGATGATCGATATGAAGAAGAAGCAAGAGAAAGATGGAGATCCTCTTAAGTTCACCACTGAACATCTCAAAGGGATGATCTCGGTACGTAAACCTTTAGTCTTTTTCAAGTTATTTATATTCCACAGTGGTTAAAAAATCTTGGACCATACTAATATTTGTGACTTTGTGTTTATGTCAGGACATATTTGTAGCAGGAATTGGCGGAGTCGCTGGCATAACACTATGGGGAATGACCGAGCTGATCAGAAACCCGAGAGTGATGAAGAAAGTGCAAGACGAGATTCGAACAACACTTGGGGACAAGAAGGAGAGAATCAAAGAAGAAGATCTAAACGAACTTCACTACTTTAAGCTCATGGTCAAGGAGATATTAAGGTTACATCCAACAACTCCACTCTTGCTCCCAAGAGAGGCATCGTCTCATTTCAAGGTCCAAGGCTACGATATTCCTGCGAAAACACAGATCCTAGTCAACCTTTATGCGATGGGTCGTGATCCAAAACTCTGGGAAAATGCGGATGAGTTTAACCCTGACAGGTTCCTCGACAGTTCCATTGATTATAAAGGAAAAAACTATGAGTTGCTACCGTTTGGATCTGGTAGGAGAATATGTCCTGGGATGGCAATGGGAACCATGCTTGTTGAGTTGGCATTGTTGAATTTGCTTTACTTCTTCGATTGGGGATTGCCGGAGAAGGATGAAGCCAAAAAGATCGTTACTGGGGACGAAGAAGTTTTTCTTGCCTACTTTCAAGTTCTTCACCACTGAATATGGTTTGGTTTTATGTACACTAGATTCTAAGATAATAAATGAAAATTGTATCTGTATGTGATACAATTTTCTAAATAAAAATAAAAATATGGAAACATTTCTAAATAGAAATTTTGTTTATTTAGAGCTAAACTTCCTTGCGATTTTAAACGAAATCTTAAATCGTTCATATATATTAAATCGTTCAAAGATATTTTAAAAGAAATTTTCAATAACCTGAATATGTGTTAATGTTAGTATAAGAAAATTAATATGAGTTTTAGTTTAAAAGAAAAGGAAAAGTACAACTAAACAAAAAAATGAAAAATATATTCAACTAACAACACAAAGAAAATAAGTTAATGCTAGTCGGGAGAAACTTTGAGTTTAAAATAAAAGGGAAATGAATATTCTACTTAGTAGCAAGAAGGAAAATAGAAAACTTTGAGTAGATTGCTGGATTATATTCATAATCTCTACTCTATTCCACTTCCTTCATGTTTAGCAAATCAACAACCACGAACAACATATGCATTATGGTTCTATTCGTATTTCTACATTACTCTACATACTATAGATTGCTGGATTCAATGTTTTCGATTTGTTCGCTTAGCATAGTAAGAAGCACTGTCTCTCTGTATTCGAATACTGATAAACTCTTTAGATTCTCTACTTTATACTAACCCGAACTTCGGTTTCGAGTAACTTGGTTTTGGCATTGAATAATTCTCAGACAGTCGTGGATTCCAATGATATCTTGAATGATTTAATGAAAAAGGCAACAAAGGATGCTGGCATCACATACACACTATATAATATACTCTTCAAGTAAAACTCACATGAACATCGATTTTGAACGTCATAATTATATTGTTAGGGAAAGCGACGAAAGGGAATTGGGAAACCAAGATTGCTATATCCCAGGACTTGTACCTAAGATTCCAGTGCGGTTCTACTATTACTTTGGAAAACCAATAGATTTAGTATTGAGGAGAATCATATATATCAATTCCTATGATTACCCCCTTCAATCACTCTCGTTAATATCTCTTATTGATTGTGTAGAATAATATCTTTCTCTAAATGTTACTCTCTACTTCAAATCACCGATCTGAATTCTTGCAATAATGGCGGGTTTCGTTTTACGTGGCAGGTAAGGAGAAAGAGCTGAAAGACAAAGAAAAGGCACAAGAGCTTTACTTGCAAGTCAAGTCTGAGGTCGAACAATGCATTGCCTATTTAAAAATGAAAAGAGAGAGTGATCCTTACAGACACTTGTTGCCAAGGATGATGTATATATCAAGCCTCGTATAGTTCCTCTTCTGAAATTCCAACGTTTGATCTCTACATTCTCTCTTTGATTATTTAAATTATACTGTGGCTATATATGTTACACTTCTAATCATGATGTCTAGAGGTTCTAAGATTCTTTAGAGATCTAACATCTTTATTTTGTCCACGGAAAATAAGACAAGATTATTTAGTTAAATGTTCATGATCAGTCTGTCTTTTATTCCGTAAGATGTCAAGTTTAAACCAATACGAAGGGTTTTTTTGTTTTTTTTTTTTACTATAGAGGTTTTATGAATGTAGTCATATGTGATTTGGCTTTAGGATCGGAGCACAAGTATTCCAACTACTCTATTTAAAATGATGGATTCTTCGTTTACATGTTATCAAGGTAGAGGTTATTCTTCATTGTAAAACTCACAACCCAAGTAAAGCAAATTAAACACCTTCAAAATACACAATGTTCAACAAAAAAAAAAATGATACACATGTGATCACACCCTGCCAATGAAAGTTCAACTAACGTTAGTTTGTGAATTTTGTTTTGTTTGTAGAAATTTCAGAAGACGAAACTTGCACGTCTAGATTTGTATCTAAAATTATAATGAGATCCAAAAGGTCACTGTTGTTGGTGTTTATAATTGTATTCTTTTTATTTTTGCGCTAAACTCTCTTAAATAGAGGAGGTGGTAAATATGGACTTTTAGTCTAAACTAGATACAGACAGATGGAAACAAAACTATCTCAATTATGCTGGAGTTTGCCTTAAATAAACTTTGTTACAAGTTTTCTACATGTTAGAAACAAATAAGGTTGTATCCTACATGTATATGTCTTCTGTTTCCATTAGCATCATTATTACCAAAAAATTTTTTTTACCTGTTTTGAGTTCAATTCTGATCCAACTATTTTATGTTTTACAATAATTTTCACTGTTTAGTTATATGCATCATGCACGAAACATATTCACTTTTAACAAGCTGGCCCAATGTTACGAGGGTCGTACTCAAGATTTAAAATTTTTGTTTTTTTTTTCTCATTTTTGAATGTTATAAACTTATAAACTAAATAAATAGGAGAAGTTCAATAATAACGATAAAAAAAATACAAATCATCAAAACCAAATTTTTTTTTATTTAATAAAAGTCTTTCCTACTTTTACATCCAAAGAATTCTCATAGTGGCGGCAAGTAATGATTATTTAGTTTATTGTTCAAACGTTTTGGAGAAAAAAAGTCTTGAGCATTATTTGCCAAACATGGATATAACTATTCCGGTAATTAGTCAAGGCTCCATGTGGAGGTAACGAAAGTTTGCTATTGCAGTGTGAAGAATAGTCATAATCAAAATCGTATTTTGCGTTTACCGTTAGACCATCAGCAATGGTGGGTGTGTGTTAGTGGGGTGTAAATATTTTTTTATTATTTTAATTTAAAGAGAGAGAAAAGAGAGAGAGAAAGAAAGAGAGAGAGAGAAAGAGAGAAAGAGAGAAAAAGGCTTACACTCGGGTGTTAGTTAAGATTCGAGTGTGAAGAGAGAGACAGCGCAGTGTATTATTTCTCATTTTTAAAATACTCACACCCCATGCTCGGTTACTCCGCTGTGTTTGCTCTTAGAGTTGATCCGATGATTATATTATATCCAACATACACAATTAATTCTCATAGTGGTAGTAAGTAAAGATTATTTAGTTTATTGTTAAATGTTTAACAAACGTGTGTAAAGTATAATGATTTAAGTCGATCGAATCAGGCTTAGATTGATGTCGGCTGGTAGATTATAGTGTCCCACGTCAGTTGTGTATTTGTAAGGATGGAATTCATTTCAATTAGAAAATTTGATATTACCACACATCCTATGATGTTCATTATATTTTTTTTTTTGGACAAAGATGTTAATTTTTAGGTTGACCACTTAATAGTATATTGGTCTAATTAATCAATAAGTTTACAGATTTACAACTTTTACTTGTTAATGATTTAAGTAACAAATCGTTAGCTAATGATTTACAACGATTTGTTACTTGATAAAAATTAATTAGTCAAACGAATAGCAATTTCTTAATTTGTAAATTATTTGGTAAATTTTCTGATATTCTCTTGTTTTTAGGATTACACAAACAACTCTTCTTATTTTCAAGCATGCATGAATTTGACAACATAGGTCCGCAACGATACCCAAATCATTTCCTGATCATGCTTATTTTCATGTCTAGTGGATGTATTCTTATTCAAACACGCCTAATATCACTAGGTTTGTTTCTTTATAATAATTTATATTAATCAAATTGTTCACGAAATTATTACCGCTTAAATAAAAAATAATACCACTCCAATATTTATTTTTCAAAAAAGAAATTACTATAGTTTTGTTCTCCATTTTGTAATCCAGCTATTCACCAATTATTACCTCTTAAATTATAAAAAAATACCACATGTGTCATGTGACATGTCCACATTTTTTTTTTGTTTTTTTCAAAAAGAAAATAAAGTGTTTATTTCCGCGCACTTTCTTGGCTCATTGTTCGGAATAGTTTTCTTTCGCAAAATACAAAACGGAAAAAACAAACAAAAACTCTTTTCTTTCAGAGCTTCTCACAAATGGCGGTTACAGTATTTCCCTCCGTCTTTCGTCTCTGCGCCGTCACATCTTCATCAAAGCTACAACGACGGACCTCCGCCTCGAATTATCGACTCACAGTGATCAAATCCGTAACATCGACTCCTCTTCCTCCTTCTAGTGGTGTTCAACGGAAACGGAAGAATAAAGATGAAAACAAAGCCACGGTGGCTAAGGTGGTGGAGAATCCGTATTCCTTTGAAGCGGCGCAGCCGGATTTGCAGAAGAGCTTGTCGGATTTTTTGGAAGAAGCTAGCGATTTCGTTAGAGATAGAGGTGGTCCACCTCGTTGGTTCTCTCCGTTGGAGTGTAGCGCTCAAGCTCCAAACTCTCCTCTTCTCCTATACTTACCTGGTTCGTCTTCTAAACCTTCGTTCGCCTTTCAATTTCTATGGATTTAGACTTAAATTGATTTCCATGGAACTCTGAAACATTAAGCTTTTCAAGTTAACAAAACTGTGAAAACTAAAACTTGCAGGGATAGATGGAACTGGACTAGGTCTCATTCGCCATCACAAGAAACTTGGGGAGTAAGTAATATAGTTCCTCTGTTTCTACAAAATTCCTCTGTTTTTTTCCTTTTGGTTTGTCCAAAAACTTTGATTTTTAGGTAGCTTTTGAAGTAAGTGATCTTTATTTCTAATGATTTTTTTGTCTTTGAATAGGATTTTTGATATATGGTGCCTGCACATACCAGTCAGTGATCGTACTCCTGTTAAAGGTACCTTTTCGTTGCCCCTTCGAAGTACAACCGAGAAGATAGTTAATGCGAGTTAAAGCCTTTCTGTTTGTGTTCTGTTGTATTCAGACTTGGTGAAGCTTATTGAGAAGACTGTTAAGTCGGAACACTATCGTTTCCCAAATAGACCAATATATTTAGTTGGAGAATCTATTGGAGCATGTCTTGCTTTAGATGTTGCAGCCAGGAATCCCAACATCGATCTTTCTCTGATCTTGGTTAATCCAGGTACAAAGCTCTCGGTCCATGAGTTTTGTCGGTGAATGTGACGAATTTTTCTCATCATAAACATTGTATGTTGCAGCCACACATGTCAACAATTTCATGTCGCAACCTCTATCAGGAATGCTGAATGTTTTACCAGATGGTATTCCAACACTATTGGAAGATATATTTGGTTTTATTAAGCAAGGTACACTTTTGTTCTCTTCTCATATTCTATCTCGAATTATAAATTAAACCAACTAATGGAATTTCAGTTGGATCTTTAAAATGTTATCTTCAGTTTTAGCATCTTGTTGATTCTACTTAGAGAGCAGTGACAGCATCAGTTCCTTGTAGATCAAGAACTTATTGAAACGTGACAAAAATGTGTTTCTTTGTTACGGTAGGCGATCCACTGACCGGGATGTTAGATGCTTTGTCAAATGAATTTTCTGTCCAGCGAATGGGCGGAGTGGGTGGAGGGATGCTAAGAGATCTCCTTGCTGTTTCAGCTAATCTTCCCGTAAGTTTTCCTTCTTAGAAACTCATGATCTAAACGTTTTTCCGTTTATCATCTACACATTTTCAATACTAGTTCTAGTGTTCATCTAGTATTGTGATCACAATATATTTTCAGACTCTTAGTAGGATATTCCCTAAGGACACACTGCTTTGGAAGCTGGAAATGCTAAAGTCTGCTATTGCTTCTGTGAATTCTCACATACACTCAGTCAGAGCGGAAACACTCATACTTCTGAGGTCCAATAAGTTTCTCTGTTTCACTGATCACCATAAATATCTTTAATTTACTTGTAAAGAGGCATTTTAGCTTGGTGCATAAGTGTTCGTGAAAATCTGGTTATGACTATTGCAGTGGACGCGAGCAATGGCTGTTGAACAAGGAAGACATTGACAGATACTCGCGCACCTTGCCAAAATGTATTGTCCGTAAGCTCGATGACAATGGACAGTTTCCCCTTTTGGTAAGTGATCTATCTCCATCCAATACAGAATTATTGATACTAGTTTCATCATGAATATCGGATCATTGGTAACCTACACTTCAACTATCTTTTACATCTCATGTTAGGAGGACGGCGTAGATCTGGCTACTATCATCAAGTGTACTTGTTTTTATCGCCGTGGGAAGTCTCACGATCACATTACGGATTATATCATGCCTACTACATTTGAGTTAAAACAACAAATAGACGATCACCGGTAAAATGCCTAACAAATACCACATTTGAGTTAATTTTATAGTGGTGCAGATTACGCGGTACTGAATGATATATTCTGCGGTGCAGATTACTAATGGATGGTACTTCTCCTGTAATGTTGTCAACTCTAGAAGACGGCACAGTTGTAAGAAGCCTAGAAGGATTACCTTCAGAGGGACCTGTTCTGTACGTTGGCTATCACATGATATTGGGATTTGAGTTAGCTTCAATGGTAACTCAACTCATGAAAGAGAGGAACATTCACCTGCGGGGTTTGGCACATCCGATGATATTTAAGAATCTTCAAGACTCGTTGGTCGACACGAAGATGTTTGACAAATATAAGATAATGGGTGGAGTTCCAGTCTCCCATTTCAATATCTACAAACTACTTCGTGAAAAGGCTCATGTGCTTTTGTATCCTGGAGGTGTCCGTGAAGCTTTGCATAGAAAGGTGATGTATAGTTTGTGAACTTTTTTCGGGTTTCTGCATTCTTGAAACTTCTTATTTTAGAGGCTTAAATGTACAAAGAGACTTTGCAGGGTGAAGAATACAAGCTGTTTTGGCCAGAACGATCTGAGTTTGTAAGAGTTGCATCTAAATTTGGAGCGAAAATTGTTCCTTTCGGTGTTGTTGGAGAAGACGACATCTGCGAAGTAAGATTTCTCTACTCTATTCCACTTCCTTCAAGTTACACGCTAGCAAATCATCAACTACTAAGTCTATCTACATTATACTCGACATTTTCAGTTTCTACCTACATTCTACTTAGAGACAATTTTGCACACTCATAATTAAATTACATTAAAACTAATTATAAACCAAATCTTTAGACACCCACCAAAGAATGACCGATAGAGAATTAGAGATGGTCGTAGCGTACTAGCAAGAAGGAGTGTCTCTGTATTCAAATGATGATAAACTCTACATATGCTCTACTTTATATTTACCCGAACCTCGGTTTAATTTTGGTTTGGACATTGAATGATTCTCAGATTGTCCTAGATTCCAATGATCAAAGAAACATCCCTATCCTAAAGGATTTAATGGAAAAGGCAACTAAGGACGCTGGCAACCTAAGGTGTTTTCATCACATACACACTCTATATATATACTCTTACAAGTAAAACTCATATGAACATTGATTTTGAACGTCATAATTATTAGGGAAGGCGACGAGAGCGAATTGGGAAACCAAGATACCTATTTCCCAGGACTTGTACCTAAGATTCCGGGGCGGTTCTACTATTACTTTGGAAAACCAATAGAAACAGCAGGTATGTATGTCTTAATGTTTCTCTCTACTTCAAATCACCGATATAAATACATGCAATAATGGCGGGTTTTCTTTTCGTGGCAGGTAAGGAGAAAGAGCTGAAAGACAAAGAAAAGGCACAAGAGCTTTACTTGCAAGTTAAGTCTGAGGTCGAACAATGCATTGCCTATTTAAAAGTAAAAAGAGAGAGTGATCCTTACAGACACTTGTTGCCAAGGATGTTGTATCAAGCCTCACATGGTTGGTCTTCTGAAATTCCAACTTTTGATCTCTAAATTCTCTCTTTGATTATTTACGTTATACTGTGGCTAGATATGTTGTACACATCTATCATGATGTTTAGAGGTTCTAAGATTCTTTAGAGATCTAAGATATTTACTTGTTCATGGAAAAATAAGTCAAGATTATTTAATTAAATGTACTTTGTAAGATTTTAAATTTTAACCAATTGGAGTTTTGTGAATGCCGTATGTAATGTGGCTTTAGGATCAAACAAGCATTTCAATTACTCTGTTTAAAATGATGGTTTATTGGTTTATATGCCATCAAGGTAGATGTAACTTTTTTCATTGCCAAACTCACAACCGAAGAAGATCGACGATCTTTAAGTCTAGATAGTTTTCTAAAATCAAGTTAAATACCTTTAAAGATAAGAAAACTATCTAGACTTAAAGATCATCGATTAAGAAAAGAAAAAACCAATTGAAGTTCAAACTAATTAATAGTTTCTAAAATTTTGCTTTTGTTTTGTAGAAATTTCAGAAGATGAAACTTGCACGTCTATATTTAGTTTCTAAATTATATTATAACAAGATCCAAAAGGTCACTGTTGTTGCGATGTGTTTATATCCAAAAAATGTATTTATTTTTGCTCTAATCTCTTTTTAGATCCTTCAAAATATATCAATTAGATCTAGGCTTCAACTACTTTTGGGTAACGGTTCAGTTCAGTTAATACCCGAGGTCCACTTAGTACCCGAATATATCTGAACCTTAGTAAGTATATACATATTTCCCCTTTTAGTATGCGAACCTAAACTTATGTCTACTTTGCTCTCATGAAGAACTTAAACCTATACCAACCTTAGTAAGTATACATATTCCCCTCTTTAGTACCTGAACCTAAACTTATGGTTTCTTTATTTTAATATGATTATTATAATTTCATGTAATTTTAATTTAGTTTTCCAACTTATATTTCGAGTATTTCGGTTTTAATCGGGTGAAAGTACATACACAGAACCGTAACAACAAAATATCGGGTATATATACCCGAACCCAAAAAATATCGAACCGAATACGAACATAATGTTTGTAATATAACATCTAGTACCGAAATACCCTAACTGAACGTGAACCGATACCCAATTATTGTAAGAAGTACGTTTAACAACTTTATGTTAAAATATTTAATTCGATCGAATCAGGCTTGCATTGATGTCGGCTAGCTCTGATGTATTATAATGTCCCACGTTGGTTGCACATTTGTAAGGATGGTATTTATTTCAATTAGAAAGTTTGAGATTACCACATATGACACATTTTATGATGTTCAACTATGTTAAATTTTTAGGTTGACCACTCTAATTAATCAATCAGTTTAGTAATTGGACGAATCAATATAGAACATTGACTAGCCATACAAGAATATTTGACTAGCCAAATTATCATTTCTTTATTTGCAAAACTACCTGATAATTATATAATTTTTTGGCATTTCCAAACAATCCTCTTTCTAATTTTCATGCATGATTTCAATGTGGGGAGACAAACATAGGTCCACAATGATACACAGAGCATTTCCTGATCATTCAGGTCCAGTGAATTTTTTTTATACCCAATTATATCACCTCTTAAATACCACATGACATTACACATGTGACAAGTCCAATAGTATTTATTTTTTCCTTTTGATTGTTTCTTTTCAAAAAGGAAAATACTAAAGTGTTTATTTCCGCGCACTTTCTTGGCTCTTTGTTCGGAAGAGTTTTGTCATATTCTGACTATAAGCATATACAAACGGCCAAAGCTCTCTCTTCAGAGCTTTTCACAAATGGAGACTACAACAGTACTTCCCTCAACCTTCGGTCTCAATGCCTTCTCATCTTCATCAAATCTACGACAACGGACCTCAGCCGCGAAGCATCGACTCACTTCGGTCAAATCCGTAACATCTACTACTCCTCATCCTTCTAGGGGTGTTGGACGGAGACGGAAGAATAATGATGAAAACGGAGCCACGGTGGCGAATGTGGTCGAGAACCCGTATTCGAAAGTGGAGGCAGCGCGTCCTGATTTGAGGAAGAGCTTGTCGGATTTTTTGGAGGAAGCGAGAGATTTCGTGGGAGATGGAGGAGGTCCACCTCGGTGGTTCTCTCCGTTGGAGTGTGGCGCTCAAGCTCGAGGCTCTCCTCTCCTCCTCTTTTTACCTGGTTCGTCCTATAAATCTTCATTCGCCTTTCTATCGTAATATGAATGGATCTCAACTCGCTTGTGGTGGTTGAGGATCCGGGTTTCAAGACGTAAACTTGCAGAGGTTCCCGGTTGGTTGAGTTTAGTTAGGGTGAGTTTGTGGTAACATGAAAAGAGCATGGTCACCTTCGGATTAGTTGGAATTGACCTAGAATTGATACCGATAATTCAGTTTAGTTGAGTTGGGATAGTTTCTACGGATTTGAACTTTTATTTCATTTCCATGGAACTTTGAAATGTTTTAACAAAACTGAGAAAACTAAAACTTGCAGGGATCGATGGTACTGGACTAGGGCTCATTCGCCATCACAAGAAACTTGGGGCGTAAGTTATTTTACTTTTTTTTTTTCTTTTTCTATATGGTTTATTCATTTCCTTAAACGTTTGCATTAGCTTTTCCATTTTTTGCAACATTCCCTGTATCTTCAAGAATATGGTTTCTCTGTTTTTGTAACTTTGCTTTTAGGTAGTTTTGAAGTATAAGGGATCTTTATTTGTAAAGAATTTTGTCTTTGTATAGGATTTTTGATATATGGTGCCTTCACATTCCAGTCAGCGATCGTACTCCTGTTAAAGGTACCTTTTCGTCGCCCCTTCGAAGCACTACCGAGAAGATAGTTAATGCGAGTTAAAGCCTTTTCGTTTGTGTTCTGTTTTCAGAGTTGGTGAAGCTTATTGAGAAGACTGTTAAGTCGGAGCACTATCGTTTCCCAAATAGACCAATATATTTAGTTGGAGAATCTATTGGAGCATGTCTTGCTTTAGATGTTGCAGCCAGGAATCCTGATATTGATCTTTCTCTGATCTTGGTTAATCCAGGTACAAATCTCTCGGTCTATAGGATTCTTAGTCGGTGAATGTCACAAATCTTTTCTCATCATAGATACTGTTTGTTGCAGCCACACATGTCAACAACTTCATATCGCAACCTCTATCCGGAATGCTGAATGTTTTATCAGATGGTATTCCAACACTATTGGAAGATATCTTCGGTGTTAAGCAAGGTACACCTTTATTCTCTTCTCATATTCTATCTTGAATCATCAGTTAACCAACTAATTGAGTTTCAAGTTGGATCTTAAAACGTTATGTTCAGTTTTAGCAACTTGTTCAAGAACTTATTCAAACACGTGTTTCTTTGTCACGGTAGGCGATCCGCTGACTGGAATGTTAGACGCTTTGTCAAATGAATTTTCTAGCCAGCGAATGGGCGGAGGAGGTGGAGGGATGCTAAGAGACCTCCTTGCTGTTTCAGCTAATCTTCCTGTAAGTATTCCTTCTTAGAAACTCATGATCTATGCGTTTTTCCGTTTATCGTTTACACATTTTCAATTCCAGTTCTAGTATTGTGATCACAATGTATTTGCAGACTCTGAGTAGGATGTTTCCTAAGGACACACTGCTTTGGAAGCTGGAAATGCTAAAGTCTGCTATTGCTTCTGTGAATTCTCACATATATTCAGTCAGAGCGGGAACACTCATACTTCTGAGGTCCAATAAGTTTCCCTGTTTCAGAAATTCTGAATATTGTTTACTTGTAAAGAGGTATTCTAGCTTGGAGCATAAGTGTTCATGAATATCTGGTTGTTGACTATTGCAGTGGACGCGATCAATGGCTACTGAACGAGGAAGACATTGACAGATACTCGCGCACGTTGCCAAAATGTATAGTCCGTAAGCTTGATGACAATGGACAGTTTCCCCTTTTGGTTAGTGATCTCTCTTCATTCAATAAACAAGAAATATGATACTTAGGGTCAAGTATTGATACTAGTTTCCTCATGTTAGAATATTGGATCATTTATAAACTACACTTCAACTATCTCTTTTACATCTCGCGTTAGGAGGACGGCGTAGATCTGGCTAATATCATCAAGTGTACTTGTTTTTATCGCCGTGGGAAGGCTCATGATCACATTTCGGATTACCTTATGCCTACCACATATGAGTTAAAACAACAAATAGACAATGACCGGTAAAATGCCTCACTAATTGCTCTGAGACATATCTTAGTTTTTCTGTATGCTTAGCAAAATAAATCAGACTATCAAGTAAAAAGTTAGTGGATACCGAATGATAAATTCTGCAGTGCAGATTGCTAGTGGATGGTACTTCCCCTGTAATGCTGTCAACTCTAGAAGACGGCACAATTGTACGGAGCCTCGAAGGATTACCTTTAGAGGGACCTGTTCTGTACGTTGGCTATCACATGCTATTGGGACTTGACCTGGTTCCAATGGTATCTCAAATCCTAAAAGAGAGGAACATTCACCTGCGGGGTTTGGCACATCCAATGTTTTTTAAGAATCTCAAAGACTCAATAGTCGACACAAAGATGTTTGACAAATATAAGATAATGGGTGGAGTTCCGGTCTCTAATTTCAGTATCTACAAACTACTGCGTGAAAAGGCTCATGTGCTTTTGTATCCTGGAGGTGTCCGTGAAGCATTGCATAGAAAGGTGATGTATAGTTTGTGAACTTTTCACGGTTTCTGCATTCTTGGAAAATTTTATTTTAGAGGCTTAAATGTACAGAGTGACTTTGCAGGGTGAAGAATACAAGCTGTTTTGGCCAGAACAATCCGAGTTTGTGAGAGTTGCATCTAAATTTGGAGCGAAAATCGTTCCTTTTGGTGTTGTTGGAGTAGACGACATCTGCGAAGTAAGCTTTTTCTACTCTATTCCGCTTACTTCATGTTTACACGTTAGCAAATCAGTTACCAAGAACTCGATTGCATTATATGCCCATTCAAATTTCTACATTACTCGACATTCTCAGCTTCTACTTACATTCTACTCTATTTGCTTTAGAGTACTAGTAAGAGGCAGAAACAGTGTTTCTGTATTCAAAATGATGATAACTCTACATAGGCTTTACTCTATATCTACCCGAACCTCGGTTTTGAGTAACATTGAATGATTCTCAGATTGTCCTGGATTCCAATGATCAAAGGAAAATCCCTATCTTGAAGGATTTAGTGGAATGGGCAACAAGGGAAGCTGGCAACATAAGGTGTTTCATTACACTCTATTTCTAACACTATTTATAGATTGTTCTCAATACTTCCAAGTAATACTCATTTGAACATTGATTTTGAATGCCAGGGAAGGCGACGAGAGCGAACTGGGAAACCAAGATATCTATATCCCAGGAGTTGTACCTAAGATTCCAGGGCGGTTCTACTATTACTTTGGCAAACCAATAGAAACAGCAGGTATGTATATAATCTAAATGTATGCTCTCTACATCAAATCACTGACCTCAATACTTACAATAATAGTGGGTTTTCTTTTTCATGGCAGGTAAGGAGAAAGAGCTGAAAGACAAAGAGAAGGCACAAGAGCTTTACTTGCAAGTAAAGTCTGAGGTCGAACAATGCGTTGCCTATTTAAAAGTAAAAAGAGAGAGTGATCCTTACAGACACTTGTTGCCAAGGATGTTGTATCAAGCCTCACATGGTTGGTCTTCTGAAATTCCAACTTTTGATCTCTAAATTCTCTCTTTCATTATCTTAAGTATACTGTGGCTAGATATGTTGTACATATCTAATCATGATGTTTAGAGGTTCTAAGATTATGTAGAGGTCTAAGATCGTTACTGGATCATGCAAAATTAGACAAAATATTTTAAACCGAATGTGGCTGTACTTGTACATGAATCTATCAATAAAGGTTTTCTGAAATGCAGTCATATGTGATGAGGCTACAAGCGATTCAACTACTTTTTTTAAAATGATGGATTCTTCATTTACATGTTATGAAGGTAGAGGTAAATTCCTCATTGTAAAACTCACAACCGGAAGAAGAACAGTCCTGACTAAACATCGTTTGCAGACAAGACATAGGTCTAACCTTCAGCTGCAAAAAGCTGTGTTATGGGAAATTTCCTTTGACTCTCTTATCTTCTATGCTTTGACATATTTGTCTACATAACCCTGCCAAAACAAAAATGAAGAACCATGACGAGTCTGATTCGGTAAATGATGGATTGAGAGGGGATTATGTTTCTTACCATGACCAGTTTGGTCAGCTTCTGCTGTGAAGAATCAATGTACCTATCGATCTTAGCTCTTGATTTGGGTATACGATGACCCTCCATTGAGTTTGACACTTTATCCACCACTCTCTTCACAATAGTCTTAAACGCCTCTTTGCTCATATTCCCTTGTCTCCACGATGGTTTTAGAAGATCCTTGACGAATTTTGTAAGCACAACTTTGAAAAGCTTCATGGACCTTGACGAATCTCTCTCTTTTGATTTCTCTCGAGACTTTTTCTCTGTGTTATCGCCTTCATGTACATTGTTCTCTACCTTCGGATTCTCGTTATCAGAGTTTGGAGTCAAAGTCTCATGGCTGTTACATTCTCTTCCGTTGTCCACATTCTCACCAAACTCATTGTTCTCTCCAGAAACAACTACTCCAATCTCAATTCCAGCGGTGTTTTCTTCAACATCAGCTGGTTTGTTGGAGGAAACACTGACCCGAGCAGTCACGTCTGACTCACTTAGAGCTTGCTTATCAACACCTTGGTTGTTTTCTTCCATACTAAGCGGTCTATTCGAAGAAATGCTCGCCTTTGGTACAATGCACAAGTCTTCGTTATCTGGTTCACGCTCCTGAACACAATCTAATTTCACAGATGCTGGTTCAAAGCTGTCTACAAAAGGATCATACATGTCACCAACAAGACCACATTCAGGAACAATCTTGGCTTTTCCAGAGTAAGGCGAAGAAGAAGCTTGTCTAGAACCATCATCAGGAACCTCTGTCTGAAAATTCATACTGTTGCTTGTTGTTATAGATTGTGGTTTTGAGCTAAAACGAGAAGTTGGAGATGCTCTGGTCTCAAGCTAAACGCCACTGCAGAAAAAAAATCAAAGCTTTTAGAAAATCAATTCATGGGTTACTTCAATTAAAGCCCTAAAACATGAATCATAGCAATGCTGCAACACAATTATCAAAAAAGTTCAAGACTTTAAGAACCCTAAAACCCTAAACTCGGATTGAAATTGAAATTGATCAAAAAAAAAAAAAATCAGATGCAAAAGAGAAACATACTCCTTTATGTGATTGAAGATGAAGAGAAGCTAAATCGCGTCTAGTGATGATTACATGTCCTTTGTTTAATTCAACGAAGAAACCAGTTTCTACTTGTGAAGTTGTCATCTTTCTGATTTTTGTTTTTTTTTTTCGTTACAAAATCAAATCCACCATTACAAGAGACGATTTCGGAGAAAATCAAGAGAATTGAATAAGAAGAGATGATATTGATATTTGATACCTAAATGTCTTTGGATCGAATTCCTCAGACGAATGAAAATTGCATTTTATATATGAAAGACGAAAGAAGAACCCTAACTCTTTTCTTTGGGCCTTTGTTTGGGCCTTAACGTTTGGGTTTGGTGTTGAGACTTAAACAGTGTAGCTAATTATATTGACCCATTTTAACAGGATTATTTACATATCTTGACTACTATCTATATTAGTATTTCTAAAGTACATTTTGTATCGGATATATTAAAATTTTATTGAGATTGTTAGTACCCGATCCGGTGAAAACTTTGCTTCAAATTCTTATACCGGATATTTTATATATTTTTTTTTAATTGGGTAAACTATAAAATTAAGTATATCGTTACTTAATAACAATTGTAAACTATAAAATATAAATATCTTATAAAATGATATAATTTCCAAATTTTAATATATAATAGATAATCATTAAATTTTAAAAATCACTATTTTTAGAAAACAAATCGTCTCGTGGTATACCGCGGATTAAAATTTAGTTTCATCTAAACATATTTCATCTTTTTTTTCAACTTAAACCATAATTCAACTTTTCCTCTTTGGGAGGGCAAACATTGTCAAGGAAGAAAATTCTTTCATGACAATCAAGGAACAAAGACACTTAGAAAGTGAGAAGTACAAAACAAACGTGGTGAAAAAAGATAGGAATGCATAGGCTAAGGGGAAAGCTAACATCTCGGTAAGGACATGGGGAGCAGCTATAAACTCTTCCATTGGTGTGATAGAGGCTTTGGGATATTCAACGTCAAATGCAACGGTTCCTATTGGAACTCCATGATGCAATCGAAAGATCACCCAATCAACAACCGCCGCGAATGAACGTGCTGCATAAGAATTAGAGCCATGGGGAAACCGGTAGTACTCCACAAGAAGCTAGTGATGTATAGAAAAGTATTTTTAAAAAATTGTTAATATATTAAACTATTAACATAATTGAAACGCAAATTCTTGCTGATTAATTATGCAAAGCTTATCAGATGTTCATAGTGTGCCGAATATAGAGTTGTGCGTAGTGGTCTCGAATATTGCGGGGAGAGTATGTCTATCATGGAGATGTCGTACATGCAGAACCGTTCGTTGAAGATCTGAATGGTGTGGGAAGAGCTGCGCCATGGAATCGTTTTTTTGGAAATTGTTTATCATAATCGCATCTGATGCGACATGGCATCGTTGTTCGGCATCAACCGTTTAAATTGAACCGAACAAACCGATGATTTTGGTTTACGTTTTCAAACCGATTAACTATTGTAAACCGATTGGCGGAATTTTTAAATTGATTTCGGTTTTCAGGGTTCGGTGCATCAAAACCGATCAGTTTTTCGGATAAGGGAGATACCTTGTAAAAACAAAAACAAAACCTAGATCTATCACTTCATCTTTTTTTCTTTTTTTTCTAATCTCTCCTCCTCACGAAACTCCTTCTTTTCTCCTCTACAACCCCTTTTTTATATCAAAATTTCTAATACTTCTTCCTTCTTCTTCTTCTTGTTCGTTCTTCTCCTCCACCATTTCGTTTCGTAGGTATCTTATATCAAGCCGCTGCGACATTGATCCTCTCCGGCGTCCACTTCAACAACAACGATTTCATGCATGGTTCTCTACATCTCTTCTCACCACTGTGTTGCACAAATCTTCTTCTTCATCTCACCGTTGTTTTTCTTCACTTCACTCAGTTCCGTTTTCCCACCTTCAAAAGTGAACAACAAAACCCTAGATGTGGGTAGGCTTTACTTGACCTAGAAAAAAACGTTTAGGCCTTAAAAGCTAAAAACATATTTGGGCTTTGAAAAACTTAGCCCACTATGCATAAAATTGATCCAAACCTATTCGTTTAACCAATTAAAATCGATTCAATTAATCAATTAAAAAAAAATTGGTTAAAATCGGCGAATTATAAATCTTAATGACCGAACCAAAATAACTGAGAACCGACCGACCTGAATTTTTTTTCACTTTGATTTCTTAGATTTTTACAAATAGAATCTCGTACGTCATAACTTATCATATATGCAAATTTGAATTTTCGAATACCGAAAAAACTGAAAAGCCAAAAAAAAAAACTGAACCGTTTAACCTGATTAAACCAAATGTCCAAGTCTAGTTTCGTGCTTATTATCAAGTTGTGACAAATTGTGTTCGTTTAAATGTTGTTAACTAAGAGCAACAACATCGTTAAATTTATCTAATGAACTAACGACAGCGAAACTGAAAAGTAATACTGAAATTTATCATCATGAACTAACAATTGCGAAATACATATATATATATATATATATATATATATATAAAGTTCTTAACGACTACAAATGAAGAAGAAAAAAGTGTTGCTAGTTACAATCACAGCTGCTGCGAAACGAATCTGTCTTCAAATTCTCGACATCGAAATTAAACTGTAAATACAGATTCAATCTAATGTTACATTTGACTTTTTTTAATATAAATTTTAAATAGAAGAGGATTATTTTAGAACCCTTCTTACAATAATTCGTAACTAGAAAGAATTATATACTTTGAATAACATAATTTTTTTATTATAGATTTACAAATATGAAATGTATAACATACAAAATTTTAGAATTTATACATAAATGATAGACTCAACACAACACAAATAATGTTATTGTCATTTTACACTCTCTTTGAATATTGTTAACGTTTTTTAATATATCCAATCATACACTTTATGCATATCAACCGGTCTATTAACATGTCTCTCAGGTCTTATCTTTAGATAGATTCCATTTTCTCTTGCTCTCCAATCCCATACGCCGCCATGATCTGAAGCACTGTAAAGTTTAAATGCTGTAAAGTTTTGATAGTGTCTATAGTTAGGTCCTTGTCGCAAGGTACACATGAAACGAGTCGTACTCCAAAAGTTAGTACCAAAATAATTGAACGAATGCCCTCCGATTGGTATTATTTTTGGACCTATAACGTCATCTTTGGAATAACACCTCATCCAGAGGAGTTTTTTGTTTTTGAGTTCGTTCCCGATCCTGATTCCGGCACTGGATACATGGCCAAACAGGCAAAGGCTACACACAAATAGGAATATTGAGAGGTTTTTCATTTTTACTTATATATTTGGATTGTTTTTGGTAGATGTTTAGATCTTTTTCGTGTTGACTTGTTTTCGTGTATGCTACATTTGTATTTAAAGCTTTTTTGTTCTTTCCCTATTAATATAAGCTTGCTATTAATAGTTGAGGTAACAAATCATCGAAGACTATCAATTTAAGGTCAACCTAAAAAAGGATTTGAATTTGTAAGTACCAGCATAGCAGAGGTTATTCCATCGCGAGATTATATCGAACTTGCATTTTATAAAATTAAACTGCAAAAAAAGCTAGCTTGGTCCTTTAGGTTTTTGACTGGATCTCAACATCAAACTGGAGGGATCTAGAAAGCAGGGGTTGGGACCGTTTATGTTGTTGGGTGGTTGTGAGGTCCAGCTGAACATCTGATAAATAAATAAAAATTCTGCCATGACGGCTCATCCCTAGAATTAGTCGGATAAACTTAAGTTTGTTGTGGTTAAACCATGTACAAGCTAATCCTAGACCCTTAATTCGATGTTGACCCGGATCACCATAATTATGAAGTATGGCAAATAAAAAAATCCAAATTAATAGATATTAACTAATAACCATGTTCAAAGAAGTCCTAAAACAAATCCTAGATTATTGATGTCCAGCCCAAAAAGCTCATAGGTTGGTATCTCATGTCTCTGCCACAACAACAGAAGTAGTGTTTTTTTGTATTTGCCAACAGACTAATCTATATATATAATGGGAGAGTTGTCTCTCCATCTAAGGTGTCCACATCAGCATCCATGTCATCACATTTTATTATTTTTGTGGGCTCCACATATGTTATTTATTAAAACAAAAACTAAAACTAAATTAAATCACACATTTAAATTATTACTTTTCATTAAAAATCAATAATTTACAAAAAATAAATTAAATATGAAAAAACGAAAAAATAAATATACAACACAAAATATAAAACTTTTGAATTGAGATTAGAGAAATATAAAGTTAGATGATCATGTCTTAACATATAATGAGTAAATATTTTTAATTGGTTAGAGTTAGGAAAAAGAAACTTATGATATATTTTAATGTAACAAGGTCTGGGCAAATTAACTGAACCGAATGTAAAGAAGCGGAAACGGAGCAAAAAGAACCAAACCGAACCGAAAATTTGAAAATATCCGAATGGATACTAAATTTGAAAAGATTGAGTAAAATATCCGAAGCAAAATACCCGAATGGATACTAAATTTTAAAACTGAAAGAACCGGAACCAAACCGAAACCGAACCAAAATTTCAAAATACCCGAATAGATACTAAACTCTAGAACCAAAATAACCAGAACCGAATGGAACCGAACCAAAACCGATTGGATAACAAACGTCCAGAACTATAAAACAATCACTTTTAAGAGTTATAATTATTTAGTTGAATTAAAAAATACCAAATTTAAAGGTCCTAACTAA